GGTGTTAGTGGGGGATGGCATTCCAAGCTATAGGTAAATTTATACATTTTCTGGTTGACAATTGGTTGAGTTTGTCTAAAGACCTGGGATCAACAGAAAGGAATACCTGGGTTAAGACAAAGAATTGTGGAGACCCAGGTTCTTACTTTCAGAGGAAGCCTTCAGGTAGGCTACAATAGGTTGTAGTAAAATGTTTCTTATCAGACTTAAAGTCTGTGTTAATGTCAGAGGAGTATAATGAGTAGTATCCAACCCCCATTTCCCAATCATGGCCCGAAACTGTCTCTCGGGTTAAATTTTAAAAGACCCCTGGCTGAGGAGGAAGTCCATTCAGATGGCTGGGAAGGGGAGAGAGTTTGGAGTTTTATTTTTGGTTTACAATATATTAATATTTACTGTTTAAGTACTTACACATTCTGCAGTTAGTAAAATAGATAGGATCCCAGCTCTAGGAAGCATGCATTCTAAAGGACTGAACCTACAAGGCCTGGTTCTTTAGAAGCATACTAACTTGAGGACAATTTATTTTTGTAGTGTTATGAGCACTTGCTTGTTAAAAAATTCCTCTTAATAACTTCTCAGTAGGCTAATACACAAAACAGCCACCTTTTCTGAATCCAACCAAACAAAATAACTTATTAACCACAGATTTTCCTACTGTTTTATACTTTCTGAGGAAAAGAAACATATGCCAGGAGAGCTAAAGGGTATGTGTTTTGTAAAACTCTCAGGCCTTCCAACAGCATCAATTTTGGCAGGTCTGCCCCAGTCTTCCAATCCTACATGCAAGATATATATATATATATATATATATATATATATATATATATATATATATGTATTTTTTCAACCAACACTGCTTTCTAAATAGAGAACCTATGAAATGAGATCTATGATTATCTTTGAAAAACCTTGATGCACTTGGATAGCGGACGATGGGTCCATGAACTACGGCCCTATAACGGGGTGAAAGTTAAATAGTTCTTCATAATAAAATTTAAAAATATTTGAATTTTTGGGTGGCAATCAGAAAAAAAGAGAAAGAAGACAGGGAGAAGGCCAGAGCCAACCAGATTATAAGGGCCTGGAGTCCTCCTTTCTTTGATGGTGGCCAAAATGTATTTTAAGGATAGAAATGCCTAATATTCAATGTCAACACTTCTGGCATTGCTCCACTGTGAACTCCTTCACCCTCCGCTTCCTCTGAATCTCCCATAAAGCTTACCATATCCATGAAGGCTTTCTGTTAACTCTTTTTTTTTTTTTTCTATTCTTTCCTAGCTCCTGTGAGACACAACTAACCAACAACTGCATCATGGATCTCTCAACCATCCATTTAGCATCTCCTTAGATTGATCCAAAACTCAACTTATCTTCCCTTCCGAACCTCCACCATTAATCGTTTTTACCTGCTCCTTCTTGTCTCCTCCAACATTCCACTAGCTTATTAATGTCATCATCTAAAGGAACAGCTAATATTTACTAAGCACTTGGAATATGCTAGGTACCCTGCCAAGGGCATTACATGCGTAATTTCCTCAAACTCAACTAAACAGGTACGATGATCATTTCCCAAATGTTAGGAAATCAAAGTTCTGTCACGATAGTAATTCTAAGGGTAAGTAACAGAATTAGAATTTGACCCCCGTTTTAATTCCACAGCCAGCTAACTGGTACATGCCAATGTCTGAAGTCAAACAACTCAGGATTCATCCTTTCCTCCTTAAGTCTATCTAGTCACTTACCTAGTCCAGCCTCCTAGTCATACCTCCTAACTGCCACGTTTCTCCTTCCACTGCCAGTGCACTAGCATTTACTAAGTCCTTACTATGTGGCAATCACTATTCTAATATACGTGTTTTGTCAAGTTCTAGCATCCAAATTCTGAGATGAAAAAACTAATGAACAAAGAGCTTTTAGTGTATGACACAGCCTGATTCTACCCCAGTTAATCTGAATAGAGAATCCCTGAGCACTCAACCCCTGCATCATAACAGCCTCCAACTTAGTCTGGTTATCGCTCATCTGGAAGCCCACCATTCTCCAGAGGCTGCAGATAGTTTTCTGGAATGCGAATGTTATCATGACATTCTCTTGCTTAAAATTAGCAGCTCAGTATTACTGACTGGATAAAGTCCAAATTTCTTAATCTGGTATACAAAATCCTTCATTTTTCTGTTCAAGTCAATTCAGCAAATATTTTAGTGCTCAATGTAAGCAAGAAAAGGTGCCAAGTGATCTGAAATGAATAGTATACATGTCTCTGACTACTACTTTCACCTTGGACCCTGGGTCCTTCAGCCAGACAAGCCCATGTGCAAAGCTCAGAATACAACAGCCTAAAGATACATGCATTTATTTTTAAGTGGTCTGCGCGCCACCTGCCTACAAAGTACAAAACCCCAAACCAATCTGAAGACGAAGTGCCTATGTGACACCTATTCCTATAGGTCTCCAGGCAGAAATGCTCCCTCTTTTAAGTTCAAATTACTTCAGGGCAACTGGTGGAATAAAGGATCAGTTTCCAAACAAGAAAATTTCTGGGCAAGAACCAACCCCTGCCATCAATGCCTGGCATGCAGTAGGCACTTAAACAGTGGCTAAATGAATAAATAATGAAAAAATTTCAAAGAAAATGAGAAGACTAGAGGAACAAGATATATGGAGAATGTAACACACAAGTGGACCGAATTAAAATTAATGTTATTCTACTTTGGTTTTCATTTGGCCTACTTTTACCCCATGGGAAAACTCACATGTGGGACTTGGACAAGCTAAAAAGACAAAACTTTGTTATTCATGGCTCAAGAAAGCTTTGACAAGCCAAAAGGATACCAGATTCTTGCTCCCTTCTGTACCTGCCAAAATCAATTTTCTAAAGTGGTGTGGGGGTGGGAATAAAATCTAGGCAAGTAAATAAAATTGGTCTACTGGGATCCAACTTCATCAGTGCTGCATCGAAGTACATAAAAAAGAAATACCAAAATCTGTCCTGGGAAGGAGGCCAATTTACAAGTAAGTACTATTGCCATAAGAATAGTGAAATTCTTAAAGGCAGTTCCAATAAGCTGGAGCTCAAAAGTGTTCCTCCTTCTGCACCGCCACCACTTTTCACTCAACTTTGTTTCGGATTTCTGTGCTTTTAAAAAGCATAATATATACAGCAAGGCCCATGCATGAGTGTACTTTAGTTCCTGGCACAAACGAAGGTCTGGATCCATAAACTTAAACTGAAATACTAGAAGAAACATTACATGAGTCAAAAGTCCTCGTTTAAAACGTGGCATAAAGCTTTGAAAAGCGACTGATGTACTTCCTGAACGATGCTTTGTGTGCAACTGCTTCCAACGCAAGACTCGCATTTTTAAATTACTCCCTAGAAGATGGCAAATCTCTCTCCCACCCTCTTCAGCCTGGAGAAGGGTGAGAATTCGTAGGCAACAGGCTGGGGCGGAGGGAATGATCTCTCCCCATCCCTTTCCAGAGGAACAAAACCCGATAAAGGCAGCTAGTGCCGCTCTCATTGCCAACAACACACACACAACCACACAGAGGAAATTTAAACACTCACCCCACCTCTCCCTTCCCTTAAGCAGCAAACGACGCCAAGATCTGCACCACGGTGGCCGGAACCAGCAACTGCTAACAGCCGGAGGCCGCCAGCCTCCTGGGCGCCTGCAGGCGGCGGGCACCGGGCTCCGACTCTCCCTCCCGGAGCAGCCCCACAGCCGAGCCCACGTTGGCCCTGCAGCCCGAGCGAGCGAGGACAGTCGCGGAGGACTAGAGCTCCGGGGAGAGCTGCGGCGCCGCTCCGGCCGCCTCCCGGGGCGCGGCGCTGCCCCACACCCGGCCGACGCCCGCACCTGAGGCGGCTGCCCGGAGCCGGCGAGAGGGCGCGCAGCGAGGCGGGCAGGGCAAAGTTACTCACTGGGAAAGCGCGGCTGCCCGGGCCGCGCACGGGCTCCCGGCGCCGCTGCCCGGCACCAGCTCCAGGTCTCCGCAGCCCGCTGAGGAAGCGGAGAACCAGCCCGGCTCCGCTCCGCCGCCGCAGCCGCCGCGGATTTCCTGGCAAGAAACAAACTCCGGCCGAGACTTCACTTCTCAACCGCCCCTGCTGCCTTCCCGGGGGCCAGCGCCAAGGCCAAGCGGCCCAACCCGCACCCGGGCCAATCGGAGGCAGCACAGGGCGGGAGGGGGTGGGCCGGAGGGCGGCTTGGCCTATCCGAGAGCTCGGGAGGCGGGCCAGAAGAGGGACCGTCACTCCCGGGTTAGAGTGAGACCACTCCGCCCTCGCTGCCCGCCTCCCCCACCCGCCCCGGGCTGTCCCCTCCGGCCGCCTGACTCCCCTGCGGAAGCCCCGCTGGCGAGGTGCCTGCGCGCACCCTCGGCAGCCGCCAGGAATGGCACAGCTGGGGAGGGAGCGAACATCCAGGAAAATCGCGGGGAGGGGTGGGGGAGGAGAACAGGTGGCGCTGGGAAGCAGAAACAGAGGTGCGCAGGACCACAGAACAGCTGGACTAGGGCAGGGTCGGGGCCGGCGGCCGGGGGAGACAAAGGGTCGATTCGCGAGGAAGCGCACCTGAGGGAGCGCGGCGAGGGCCGGGACGCAGGGAGCAGGGCGGAGAGCGAGCCCGGGCGGTGCAAGGTTGCCGAGGCGGGGGCTGGGCACCTGGGAACAAAGGTGAGGGCGGGTTCCGCAGGTGAGGAGGGTTGAGGAGCCACGGGGGTAAGGGAAAAAGGACGTCCACTGCGGGAGAGGACGCGCTCCGGGGGTGTAAGGAATTCTAGGACCGAAGAAAGGATGAGGTGGGAAGCAGTTTTCTTCCAAACTCTCACTCAAAAGAGAAAATTTCTTTCCTGCCCTTTTTTGACCCAGTTGAGAATGTAGCTGCAAGCTCCCCAAACACCGCCTTCAACCCTAGTGTTCTGTCGTGACTCATCTCGCACATGACCCCCTCTCTCTCCAAGGTGTGTTGACCCACTAGAGCCTAAGCCTGCTGTCCCACGAAAGGCCCGGGAGGGCGGAGGTCCTGGGAAGGGCCACCCTGGGTCGACACCGCCCCAGTGGGGGAGTCGGGCCTATTTCGGACTTGCCACTGTGAAGGGAAGTGATTTGGGGGCGTCAGGTAAGGCCCCGCTCCTTCACCATCACCTGGTGAAAGATACTAGTGCTGAGCTGGGGTGCCCGCAGGCAGGTCTGGGCCTCGGGGTAAAACGGCGCTAGCCCCGCCCTCTGCCCCACCTGCGGCGGGTGGCCTAGCTGGGGCGCCCAGGTGAGCCACGGGGCGGTGAGCCATCGCCCACCCGCAGCCGGGGCGGGGCTTGGGGGCGGAGCCTCACGCCCCGCCCCGCCGTTGGGCCCTGCCGCGCCGCTGCGGCTCCTCCTCTCTCCTTCCGTCCTCCGCGCCTTCCGTCCGTCGGTCCTTCCTTCCTGCCTCGCCTCCACGCTTCGCGCTATGGGGCAGAGCCCCCGCTACGCTAGCACCACCTGAGGATCCGCAAACCGCCTCCACGATGGAAGAGGACCAGGAACTGGAGAGGTAACGGCCAAGGAGGAGGCGGGCGAAGCGGGCCGCGCCCAAGGGGAGCGGGTGGCCGAGGGGCACGCGGCCCGGCCTGGCAGCCCGGGCCTGACTCCGGGCCCAGGGAAGAGGCATGGAGAGAGAAGGGGGAGGAGACATGAATGTGTTTCAGTTGAGAGGCTGAAAGGTAACGCTAGCTATCAAGGAGGGAAGACAAGTTGGGAGACCAGAGTTAAGTCCCCAAACTGCCCACCCCCATTAGAAGGGCAGCGTGTAAAATCACGCCCCGGGCCTCTGCTCCTTGAGGACGGTACTGATGCCTCTGTCCCTGTAACTACGGCTCACTTTCCTTCTCTGTGCAGATTGCTCCTAAAGCCACTCCTCTGTGCACTGAGCTCTTATCCTCCCTCCTGCTTGACTCCTGGACCTTCCATTCTCCTAGTTTCCTTCTCTTGCAAAATGGAAGCTGCATTCCATTTTGGGCCTGCACATTGATCATCTGTATCCTCTGTTTTTATGCTGGAGCAATCGGGATTTCTATGCCTTTCAACCCCATTTTCATCCTCTAGCAGGGCTCATCCTATTCCAATCTTACCCCTTGCTTGTGACTCTACCAAAGAATATTTTTGCAAACACATAAGTTTGTGTTTTTCTAAGAAAGCTCCCCTTGTGGCCAGTGTGGATGGTCAAATGGAGCATGGAAAAACCGGAGGCAATAAATTAAATATTTATAGAGTTTGTGGAGGCAGGAAAATGAGAGGCAAATAGTTCTGTGTAGCTGGAGTAGATTAATAACGTGTTGCAATGTGATATAGTAAATGGAAAAAGCTAGTGACAAAACCATATTCAGTATGATCTCATTTTTATAAAAAATATGTGTGTAGAAAAATATCTGGATTGAAGACCTCAATGGCTGAAGGCGAGAGGAAGACAGCCCTGGAAATGGTCCAGGCAGCTGGAACAGATAGACACTGTGTGACATTTGTATTGCACGAGGAGGATCATACCCTAGGAAATTCTCTGCGTTACATGATCATGAAGAACCCGGAAGTGGAATTTTGTGGTTACACTACGACCCATCCTTCAGAGAGCAAAATTAATTTACGCATTCAGACTCGAGGTGCCCTTCCAGCTGTTGAGCCATTTCAGAGAGGCCTGAATGAGCTCATGAATGTCTGCCAACATGTGCTTGACAAGTTTGAGGCCAGCATAAAGAACTATAAGGATCAAAAAGCAAGCAGAAATGAATCCACATTCTAGTCCCTTATGCAGTATACAAGGAGAACTGTCCTCTATAGATATTCTCTTCCTGCTGGTGCAGAACTCAGAATTAGAAGTTTGTGATCAAAGCATACTCTGTCCTTCAGAAAGGCATGATTTTAGCTGTTGACCCCTTGCAGCTGTTGGAATCTCTGCAAGAACCTCTGTATTCCTCTAATAAATTCCCTCTTTTATTTAAACTAGTTTGACTGCTTTGTGTTCCATGCAAACAAATGGTCCTCGAGGATGACTTTTTTTTTCTTTCAATAAAGCCAGCATGGAAAATGAGGAAACTAAGAATATTAGACGCCTAGACAAGAACTGATCATGGGAATTAAAAGGAGTATATATCCATGTCTGTAATTGAGGTGGTGGGGGCAAGGGTAGAGACAAAAAGCATGACTCCAGTTAGACTGTGGTTGGTTTAAAAAAAAGAAAAGGATAGGGTGGGGACTTGGCTTGTTGTTAAACTTTTTTGCTTTTTAAAGAATTACATCATTTGCTGTGACTGGTAGACTGGGCAAGGGTGGGGAATAATTTGAAAGAATTGTGAGAATTCTGGGTTTACATGAGAGTTTTAGGTGGTATCAGGCTCCATCTTTGAGGCATTTACAGGAAGGATACCAGTTTACTGCTTGAATTTCAGGATATAGACATTTAGTCATGATCTTAGTAAGGTAAGACATTTTGATTATGTTACAGGAGACGATTGGGATGACTAGATCACATTTTCAGTCCTTAGGTAGGTGTAGCCTAGGGTAACATAGAAGCCCTATTTGAAAAAAGGTGAAGCCAAGGAGAAGGAAAATTCCATGTATGGGAAATGACTGTTCTGGAAAACACATACCCCATCTGCCAGTGCTCTGTGCTTTGAGCCTTGTTTATGCTACCCCTGCTTCCTGGGGCAGTCTTACTCCTGCTGTACTCTTAAGTCAAAACTTACGTGTTGGGCCCCCCAGCCTAGTTTGGGTACTTCTTTGTGCTTTCGTTACACCCTGTGTTTCCTGGCCTTGGCATTTACTACGCTATTGGTAGTGCTCTTCTACCCAGTATACCAACTTGCAGGTCAGCATGATTCTGGTACCTGGAACACCTGACAGGTAGTGGACACTTAGTAAGTACTCTGTGAATTCATGTAATTAGCTATGGCAGGCAGCTTTTCAGTCACTCAAACCTGACCGCTTATACTAGCCTGCCACAGAGCCTACATTTCTTACACGCAATCAACTTTAAAGATATTTCCATATTTTTGAGCACTAGTATGTACGAGGCCTTGGGGATATAGCTATGGTGGATGAGACAGAGTAAGTCCTGTTTTCATAAAGGGTGTGTTACAATAAGAGCCCCTTTTAAAAAAAATTGTGAAGCTCAGCATGGTGGCTCACGCCTGGGAAGCCAAGGTGGGAGAATCACTTGAGCCCAGGAGTTTGAGACAAGCCCGGGCAACATAGGGAGACCCTGTCTCTACAAAAAATAAAAATAAAAAAGCTAGCCAGGCATGGCCTGTAGTCCCAACTACTTGGGAGGCTGAGGTGAGAGAATAGCTTGAACCCAGGAGGTGGAGGCTTCAGTGATCCATGATCACACCACTCTACTCCAGCCTGGGTGACAGAGTGAGAATCTGTCTCAAAAAATATGTAAAACTAAAAACTTGTAATTCTGTGAAAGCAACAAATGTAGGGTCAAGATAGAAAACATGAGAGGAATCTACTTTAGGCAAGGGAGTTAGGAAATGTGTTCTGGAGATTACAGGGAGAGAGCTGGCTGTGCAAAGAGGCAAGAAAATACATTCTGGGGGTATAGCATGTGCAAAGATCCTGAAGCAGAAAACTTGTGGTGTGAGGAACTGAAGATATTGGAAGAAGGTTTGCATGTTTGTAGCACAGTAGTCAAGGAGAAGGATCTGTCCTCGAGTTCGTGGGAGGAAGAGGTGTGGTAGTAGGGATTTTGGATTTTAAGTGCAGTGGGAATGACATCTTCGTTACTTTGATTACAGTGTAGGGAGGAGATGAATTATAGGGAGGCTAGAGTACAGGCAGAGAGAGACACTGTAAAGAGTCGAAGTTACCTACCTGGAAGGATAGAAGCTAATGATGGAGAAGAGAAGGTAGGTGTGAGTTATATTTTAGAATTGTCAAAGAATTGGTACACCTCAGGAATTGAGTGGAAGATTAAGAATCAGAAAGATGACTACTCCCTAGCTTTAGGGCCAATTACTGAAATTGGAAAGCTTAAAATGGAAAATAGATTGGGAGATGGAAAAGATAGGAGTCAAAAGTTTCGTTTTGAACATTGTAAGCAGTGGCTATGTGAGTTGAAGATTGCAGAATAGATCTAAGCTGGAGACAAATTTTGTGAGTCCTTGCCATAAAGATGACAAATTGATTAACAAAATAGAGGGTGACAAAGAAGTGGGCCCAGAACCAAGCCCTAGGCAACTTCAGTATTTAAAGTTTGGGTCAATGCAATGGTAGAAAAATGCAAAAGTAGAGTGTAGAAGCCAAGGCTTTCAAATAGGGAATAGAAAAATGTCACCTGGAGTTAACATGGAGGTCACCGGCCCGTAGCAGCATTAGTTTACTGCCTAAGAAGAGTAAACATTAACACTCATACAGAGGAATGGCTTAGTTTGGTTTTCCAATAAAAGAATCACGAAGACACTGCAAGAGGTGAGTTTAGGTGGGAGCAGGGATGGCGTAGGAGAAGGATGGAGAGTATTATGGTGATAGAAATTCCGGAGAGTCAATGCTTGTTTAAGGGCATTAGCCTTTGAAGATACACCGAAGCTCAAAAAGGATGTGGAAAAGGTTTAAAAGCTTCTTTGCCTCTCCCAAAACTTTGCCTGTGCGGATAGTAAATGGAATTACTTACATGGAGTTTAATTCCTCTGAATCAAGGCCTGTCAGGAGATGAAAACAGAATTTAATTAGTGGACATCAAGGTCCAGACTGATGATAGTAGATAAAGTACAGTGAGAAACACATCCAAAGGCTACCACTCACTGCATCACATGACTTCATTGCACTGAAAAGGATTTGGACTGATCACACAGCATGCAGTCTTGGGTCTCTTTAGGGTGGCCGTAAACTCACAGTTTCATGTAAAACACCTGCAGAAGGCAGTTAGGTGAGGGGAAGGAACTGAAAACTGTTAACCAAGAGTCTTGTATATGTGAAGGGAATCTGCATAGTCTGTAGGGACCTGAGGGAAAGCTGAGTTGGTCCAAAAAGGGCCAGGGAGATGAATATGAATCATACTCATACATAACTGTAATGTGCATCTGATTTTCACTCCAATAGCATTTCATTCTAAATAAACTCATGCCAGTGATTGAAGATCAGAAGTTCTTCAGCTATAAAGTACTATGACTTTTAAAAGGCCAATTATTAAATAATAATATATACCAAAGGCTTTTAATGTAATTCTGAATACTAGCTGGTCCTTTTTATTTTCAAAGTAATTTATAAGCTAATTATTTATAAATTGCATATAGCTGTAACATCTAAGTACTTAGTTGATGTAATGCGCAGGTTAACACAGAATCTCTAGAGATGGAAAGGTGTCTACGTACAAAGTGGTCTCTTCAGTACTGACCCAGAGTGTCTTGTATCTCAAGATACATGAAAGCATATGGCCTTTCACTTCCTATCCTTCTGTTAGTTTCCCTTAAGCGTGTTATTCAGATTTTAGATGGTCTCCAGACCACTAGACAAAGGTCATCTTTTTGGTTAGCATGATTTAAAGTCATTCTTTGTAACAACCTTTAAACTGGGCTCTTAGGAAGTTTACCCAAATCTACCCATCTGTTTTCAAGTACATATTAAGACCCCCAAACCCAGCCTTTTTCTGCTCAAATTCTTAATGTTGCTTTTTCTTCTGCTGCCTTATAAACTATCCTGGTACAGTTACTGTGTGGATCTGGGGTTTTTTTCCCCATGATGAATTCTCAAACTCGTTTTACTAAATCTCTAATTATTTAACTATGCAGTAGGTATGTACCTAATAGGAGCACAGAGCTGAGAAATGGTGGAAATAAGAGAATATGAATTTGTCCTGAAAAGCCTTACGTGGTTTTGGAAAATGCAGACAACAGCTGTACACATGAAAAAGAAAAAAGGAAGTGCCCAAATGTGCAGTGTAGAGTATTATGTGATGAATGCAGAATGGGATGGGTAAAAGACACTACAGAAGCACCCATTCTGTCAGCCACTGAAGATTGCAAATGAGAATTGGTGGCTTATAAAATATCAATAACTGGAATAAATGGTTTCCTTTTTCCCAGTGTAAGAGAGCTGTTGATTCTTGAGCTAGAACTGCCATAAAGTTTTTAGTTTTTTTGTTTTTTGTTCCATGTCATGTGCAGAATGGATGAGTGGAAGGAAACTGGAAGACAGCAGTGTGTTGGGGACATTTGTAATAGTCTAGGTATAATGTAAGGAGGGCATAGTTGTAAGAGAGGAGATAAAAGAATGGATTTTTAAAAATGCTTAAAAGAAGTAACTTCTTAAAAGAAGTAACTTGGGGTGAAGGTCCATAGAAGAGTTGCAGATGACCCCAAACGCCCCATATCCAGGTTCACTTACTACCCCTTTGTTTATGCTACCACTCCCTCACAACTAAAAACCGGTAAGGCAGGATTTATTATTTCTTCTTTCCACCCTGTCCTTACTAATAGGAGTTAGTGGGTGCAACCACCCTTACCTCCTTCCCAGACCCATATCAGAATTCATGTCTTTTACAAGGATATGAAGCCAGGGCTACAGATGTGAAAATTGGGAGTGGGAGAGGAGACCAGGGCAGTGAACAGCCTGGCTCTTGCTGTCTGTGCTCACCGAGTTGCTTGCTTTACAGGGAATGTTTTCATTCATTCGTTCCATGAAGATCATTGAACACATAGTATGTAGAGGCACAGCTTAGGGACCAGGATACAGCAGTGAACAAGTTGACCCACTTGCAGTTTATTTTCTAATGGCAAAGTTAAACAATAAAGAAACAAATGCAAACAAATTGAATTTCAGGTAGTAAAAGAATGATGACAAGGAGAAAACACAGATTGAGTAGTTAAGGAAGGCCTTTCTAAGGAGGCGACATTTGAGCAGAGAAATACAAGAAGAGAGAGACCAAAGATAAAAGGGAATAAGCCCATAATTTTTTTTAAACTTGAGCTTAGATTATTCAGCAATTAAAGCAAAATTATGTACTT